AGACCAAGATGGAGTTCTGAGCTCCTGGCTTCAACCAGGCCCAGCCCTGGCTGTTATGGACATTTGGGGAGTGAACCAGCTAACAGATCTCTCCATCTCTGTCACTCTGCCTTTCAAATGAATAGATCTTTTTTTTCTTGTTGTTGTTATTAAATGGGATGCTGGTGTTGCAGGCGGCAGCTTAACCCATTGTACCACTATGCCAGACCCCAACATAATTTTGTGTTTTTTTTTTTTTTTTTTAAAAGACTTACTTATTTGAAAGTCAGAGTTACAGAGAGGGAGAGGCAGAGGCAGAAACAGAGAGAGGTCTTCCATCTGTTGGCCTCAGATGGCCAAAACAACCAGACCAGGCCAAGAGCCAGGAGCTTCTTCCAGGTCTTCTACATGGGTACAGGGGCCCAAGGGCTTAGGCCATGTTCTGCTGCTTTCCTAGGTGCATTAGCAGGAAGCTGGATTGGAAGTGGAGCAGCCACGACTCGAACCAGTGCCCATTTGGGATGTGGCACTCCAGGTGGTGGCTTTAACCAGCTTTGACACAGTGCCAATCCCCTAGATCTTTCAAATATGTTCAAATGGCTAGCCATTTTGACTACAAAAGTCTATCCTTTTCATTACTAATATCAAATGTTGCCCATGAAAAATGAATTATCAGGGCCAGCATTGTGGCACAACAGGTTAAGCTGCAACTGGCAATGCTGGTATCTCATACAGAGCCAGTCTGAGTCCTGGCTGCTTCACTTCTGATCCAGCTTCATGCCTGAGAAAGTAGCAGAAGATGGCCCAAGTCCCTGGATCCCTGCTACCCACATGGGAGACTCAAATGCAGTTCCAGGCTCCTGGCTTCAGCCTCACCCCATCCTGGCTATTGAAGTCATTTGGGGGATTAAACTAGCAGATGGAAGATCTCTGTCACTCTGCCTTTCAAATAAATAAATAAATATTTTTTTAAAAAAAATGTTGGATATCACTAGTTATCAGAGAAATTCAAATCAAAACCAGCATGAGATACCGTAACTCATTAAAATGGCTATCACCAAAGACACACACAAAAATGCCAGCAAGATGAGGGTAAATGGATACCCTTGTACCCTGTGACACTGCAAACTGACACAGTCATTATGGAGAGTAGTATGGAGGTTCCTCAGAAATTAACAGGGGCCAGCGTGGCAGGTTAAGCCACAGCCTGCAATGCCAGCATCCCATATGGGCACAGGTTCATGTCCCAGCTGCTCTGCTCCTGATCCAGCTCCCTCCTATTGTGCCTAAAAAGCAATGGAGGATAGCCCAAGTGCTTGGGCCCCTGACCCATATAGGAAACCCAGATAAAGCTCCTGGCTCCTGGCTTTGGCATGACCCAGCACTGGCCATTGTGGTCATTTGGGGAGTGAACTACCAGATGGAAAACCTCCCTCTCTATAACTCTGCCTTCCAAAAAAAAAAAAAAAAATAATAATAATCTTAAAAAAAAAAAACCAACCTAAAAATAGATCTGCCATGTGAACCAGCAAACTTACTTCTGAGTATATGTCCAAAGGAGATGAAATCAGGCCGGCGCCATGGCTCAATAGGCTAATCCTCCACCTTGCGGCGCCGGCACACCGGGTTCTAGTCCCGGTTGCCCCTCTTCCAGGCCAGCTCTCTGCTATGGCCCAGGAGTGCAGTGGAGGATGGCCCAAGTGCTTGGGCCCTGCACCTGCATGGGAGACCAGGAGAAGCACCTGGCTCCTGGCTTAGGATCAGTGCGATGCACCGGCTGGCAGCGGCCATTGGAGGGTGAACCAACGGCAAAAGGAAGACCTTTCTCTCTGTCTCTCTCTCTGTCTACTCTGCCTGTCAAAAAAAAAAAAAAAAAAAAAATCAACCCATCATTCCCATGTTTACTGTGGCACTATTCACAATAGTCAAAATATGGAATCAATCTAGACATCCACTAATAAAGAAAATTTATATATACAAAATCTAACAGTATTCATCCATAAAAAGAATAAAATCCTGAGATTTCCAGCAAAATGGATGGGAAGTCATTGTGAGAAATCAAATAAGCCAAACAGAAAGATAAACACCGTATTTTCTCTCTCATATATAGAAGTTTTAAAAAGTTGATCTGGTCTTAAAATAGGGATTACTAGAGACTGGGAAGAGGGGAGTGGGATGGAGAAATGGGGTAATGGACACCAAAAAAACACAGAATAGATTCTAGTGTTCCACAGCACAGAGGCGGGACTGTAACTCACCATGATACATTATATATTGTATGAAGAACCAGGAGGAACTGCAAAGAATTTAAACAGAAAGGAAATGGAAAAACTGCTTGATTTGCTAAGTTGCTATCCCATGTGGGTGAGTGTCCCAATCACCTGAGTCATGACTGCTGCCTCCAAGGGTCTGTATTAGCACAAAGCTGGAGTCAGGAGCTAGAACTAGAATCAAACCTAGGTACTCAAATATGTGTACTCAGGCCAAACACCTGTCCCTGTTTTCTCTCTGTAATTCCATCTTCCTTGAACTTTTTGAAGTACCCTCATTTACTTTAAGATTCATTTTTATTTATTTGAAAGTCAGTAACAGAGAGATCTTTCCATCTGCTGGTTTAACTCCAGGAGCCTGGAACTCCAACCAGGTCTCCCAGGTGGGCAGCACATCTTCCACTGTTTTCCCAGATGCACTAACAGGGAGCTGGATCTGAAGTGGAACAATTAGCACTCCAACACAGGATGCTTAACACTCTGCGCCACAACACCGGCACACGTCCCCACCCCACTCCGCTTTATTTTATTTTTTTTATGATTTATTTTATCTGAAAGGCAGAGTTAGAAAGAAGCAGAGACAGAGCTGGTGCTGCGGCTCAATAGGCTAATCCTCTGCCTGCGGCACCGGCACCCTGGGTTCTAGTCCCAGTTGGGGCACTGGATTCTGTCCCGGTTGCTCCTCTTCCAGTCCAGCTCTGCTGTGGCCCTGGAGAGAGAGAGGTCTTTCATCGGCTGGTTCACTCCCTAAATGACCACAACGGCCAGAGCTGAGCTGATCCGAAGCCAGGAGCCAGGGCCTTCTTCCAGGTCTCCCACATGCGTGCAGAGGCCCAAGGACTTGGGCCATCCTCCACTGCTTTCCCAGGCCATAGCAGAGAGCTGGATCGGAAGTGGAGTAGGCACGACTCAAATGGACACCCATATGGGATGCCAGTGCTGCAGGCTGGGGCTTTAACCCACTGCACCCATTTACTTTAAATTTACATTCGGTTGTCAAGTTTGTTCCAATGATTGATCTAATTCTTGCACTTACATTGTGGCTTTATATGTTCAAAAATACAGCATTTCAATTGCCTAACCATAATTCTTTTTCAAAAGTTTATTTACTATTGTGAATTTATCTTTCCAAATTTTAAAATCTGAGGGGCTGGCATTGTGGCATAGCAGGTAAAACTGCCGCCTTCAGTGCCGGCATCCCATATGGATGCTGGTTCGAGTCCTGGATGCTCCATTTCCAACCCAGCTCTCTGCTATGGCCTAGGAAAGCAGTGTAAGATGGCCCAACTGCTTGGGCCCCTGCACCTGCGAGAGAGACTCAGAAGCTCCTGGCTCCTGGCTTTGGATCAGGGCAACTCCAGCCACTGTGGCCATTTGGGGAGCGAACCAACAGATGGAAGACTTCTCTGCCTCTGCCTCTCTGTAATTCTGCCTTTCAAATAAATAATCTTAAAAAAATCATTTGAAAGGCAGAGGTCTTTCACTCTTTTAGCAAAATGTTAGCTTTATTCATACGTATCATATATTCTTATTCACTGTATACCTGGACAGTTTACATTTACTGCACTTTAATTTATGTATGGGGGGAAGGTATATAAATAAACCAATAATTATGCATGATTATGTAGAACTTTGTCACCTTCACAATTCTCTTAGCAGTTTAAGTTATTTGGTTTCTGGGTGGTCAACCTCACACTGTAAATATTGTTCTGTCTCTTCCATTCCCAGTATTTACATCATACCAACACTCCGGTAAACAATGCTATAGAAATGAAGTGGTAGCTGACATTCTTGACTTGTTCCAGTATTTAATGGGAGTAGAGAAATTAAACAATAATATACATTCAAATGAAAGCAATCAGTTTCTACCTTGTGAATTTCATTAGTTGTTTCAATGACACAATAACCCCACTGAAATTTTTAGCCCACTTATGGAATTATGGAAGGCTATTACTGTACTCCATGTTTCATCACTGAAAACAATGGCTTTTGGGGCCAGTTCTTTTGCTCAAGGGGGTTAAGCTGCCACTGCCAGCATCCCATATGAGCGCTAGTTCTAGTCCCAGCTGTTCCTCTTCCAATCCAGCTCCCTGCTAATGCACCTGGGAAAGCAGTATAAGATAGTCCAAGTCCTTGGGCCCCTGCACGCATACGGGAGACCTGGAAGAAGCTCCTGGCTTTGGCCTGGCCAAGTCCTGATTGTTGCAGCCATTTGGGCAGTAAACCAGTGGATGGAAGGTTTCTCCTCCCACCCCTCCTTCTCTCACTATAACTCAAATAAATAAATAAATAAATTATTCTTTTAAAAAATTACTTTGGGAGCCAGTGTTGTGGCATAGTAGGTTGTACCATTGCTTGCAATGCTGGCATTCTGCATCAAAGCACTGGTACATGTCCCAGCTTTCTGCTAGTGTGCCTGGACAAATAGTGGATAATGGCCCAAGTGCCTGGGTCCCTGCCACCCAAGTAGGAGACCTAGATGGAGTACCTGGCTCCCTGGCTTCAACCTGGCCCAGATCAGGCTACTGGTGGCCATCTGGGGAGTACACTGGTAGATGGAAGATTTGTCTCTCCCTTTCAAATAAATAAATCTTTAAAATAAATAAGTACTTTGGATTACCTCAAATACATCTGCAAGGTACTTTTTTCTACCAATCTATAAAAATGTTATTATTCTTTCAATACACTGCTTAACCTAGCTTATTAAATTTTAGTATGGATTTGTCATCTATATGTGTGAATGGTCTCTAATTTTTTTTTTGTTTTTTTTTTTTAAAGATTTATTTGAGAGGTACAGTTACAGAGAGGGAGAGAGAAAGGTCCTCCATTTGCCTGCTCACTCCCCAAATGGCCACAATGGCTGGAGCTGGGCCAATCCAAAGCCAGGAGCTAGGATCCTCCCTAGGCCTCCCACACGGGTGCAGGGACCCAAGCACTTGGGCTGTCCTCCACTGCTTTCCCAGGCCATAGTAGAGAGCTGGATAGGAAGAGGAGCAGCCCGGACAAGAACCAGCACCCATATGGGATGCCAGTGCCACAGGCAGAGGTTTAGCCCACTGCACCAGAGCATCAGTCCTCCAGTTTTGTTCTTTTGTAGTACTGTCTCTCTCTTTCAAACAAATAAATCTTAAAAAAAAAAAAAAAAAAAAAAAAGATTTATTTATTTGAAAAGCACAGTTATACAGAAAGGGAGAAACAAAGTGTGAGAGAAATCTTCTAACTGCTGGTTCATTCCCTAAATGGCCAAGGGCAGGGTCAGACCAAAGCCAGGAATCAGGAGCTTCTCCTGGGTCTCCTATGTGGGTGCAGGGGCCCAAGGACTTGGACCATTCTCCACTGCCTTCCCAAGCACATTAGCAGGGAGCTGGATCAGAAGTGGAGCAGTGGGGACTCGAACTGGCGCTCATATGGGATGCTGGCATTGAGGCTACGGCCTTACCTGCCACAACACCAGCCCCATGAGTACCGATCTTTCAAAGGTGCAGATGCTTTTTCTGGTAGTTAAAAAATTTCCAGAAAAGCATACATTTTACATTAAGTATCATCATGTCAAATTTTTCTGAAATGAATTTCCACACAGTTTCAGTGTCCAATTATTTGCACTGTAAGTTATTTTTCCTTTGTAAAAACAAGCACATAAACATACAGACATCTTTGGAAGTTTGATAAAAGGATTAAAATATGGAAGAGAGCATTTGAGGTCAACCTGGAAATAATTTGGATGATGTCACAGTTAGACTGTCTTCATGTCCCTCATTTCTGCAAAACTGCACAATTTATTTTCATAGAGTTGTACATAGCATTCTCTTACAAAAGTGCCAACTCTGGCTACTGTTTCAGGAACAGACTGCAGTAGGACAAGAATAGAAGCAGGGAGGAGTTAGGCGGCTATTGTTGGTAGAAACCACTGGTGGCTTTGACTAGGGTGGAAGCAGGGGAAGTGAAAATACCTTGACAGTAGAGCCAAGAGGGTTTACATATGCAACGTACGTTCATCAGTAACATCACGTTACACGTAGAACTCTCAACCACGTACACCTTTTGCTGAGAATCATAGCACTGACTCCCAGTTCCATGAAAAATAGGTTTGTTGTTTTCACATCTATATATACCCATTTCACTAAGCAGAGTGCCTCCCAAAGTTGTTGAAGTACATGTGATGCTTGAAATTAAGTGCGACAGATTTCCAGTGACAGTTGACTTGAGATTAATTACAGTACATCAGTCAATATTTTGGAGCTTATTCCAGAATTTCTGGTGGAAGATGCTTGCAAAACACATGGGGACATGTCAGGTATAAAATAATGCTTGATTTAGAACTGTTTTATTTAAATGTGTTTTCCTCATGCTACAACACAACCCTTCAAAGTCAACCAAGTATATGACATTAATATATTTCCTCAAAATTTAAAATCTTATATATGACCCACAGCCACAACTTCTAAACTCTACAAGGCAGCTTCAACATCCCAAAGAGCACAATATGACTGTGGCATCAAACCCTATCTGAATACCACTTTTAGAAAAGCAAACCAAAGCTTACTATCAGACTACAAAGACTCAGCAAAACTCTGTTATTTAATAAGCCTACTTCTCAACTCTCCCCAATACTGGGAGTTTTAGAAATTGTACTTCATGCCAATTAAATCAGAATTTCTGTGGGGCATATTTTTTAAAGCTTCTCCAGCAATTCTAATGTCAGCTACAGTTGAGACTCACCACTCTAACAATCCTATGATGTAAAATATAAATAAATAAAAAATTTAAAAGCACAGCACAGGAAAAGTGCAGGGACACAGAAAATATCTTAAAAACCAAAAGGATTCACCTTTTGCTTTCTAATATCTCTTATCTCCTGAAAGCTATAAAGATTACCAATATCAGAATCTACATCATATCATAATAAAGTTAGGGAAGGCAGAATAAAATCAGGCTTGGAATGATCTTTGCTCCTTAAGTAGAATCATTTGGTAGAACACTAATTTCCAATGGAAGACAGCCAGGTTTCAGGTGTTAATCAATGCAGAAATAATCTCAGGGCATTACAAGGAGGGTAAGACCGCCTGGCTCTCATTTCCTGTGTTCCAGTCCAGGAAGAGTGAGAAGACACTTGTCCGTGGGAATGAACATTCATCCTCTAAGGACAATGCCATCTGAACCTATTAATCTCTTTTCCAATCAAAATTTCAAAAATAAAGCAAAATGAAACACGGGGACAAAAAGGAGGGGGCTGGTCTTCAAGCAGAATTTATGTCTCCAAGTTTCTACCAGTACAACAGTCCTGTAGGCTGGAGCTACTGAAAGACGAATAATGAAAAAGAAAAATGAAAAGCTTTATTTTAAACAGGTTCAGTGGTATGTGTGCTACAAAAAGGCTGGTTGTAGCAGTTTCATCTCAAACCTGCCTTGATGTATAAATTTGACATTATTTCAGCTAAAATGTAAATCTATCATTTTACCTGATCCAACATACCAATTTTTGTATTTATTGTAGACTCTTTTCAGTCCTAGAGGTTAAATTTTCATCAACAACTAATGAGAATAACCTTACAGCTACCTACTAAGGTAATGAACTGGGAAATTAATTCCCTAGTATTACTACGAAAATATACCCCTAGGTTGTAAGAGAAATTCCAACTTCATCCAAATGTATTGTTAACTGGGATTCTTCAGTCATCATCTACTGTTGGCTTGATTGTCACTCCTCTTCTTATCTGACCCCAGCCAATTAAACTGCAAAATGAAAATGAAAGAAATTATGAATTTTATATCCATTTCATTATGACCAACCAATTGATAGAAGTAGCTTTACCTGCCCATCTTTCAAATTTAAATTTGTTCCCAAAGCCTGCTCCTCCATAAAGAAAACCCACACTATCTTCTTAGATTTTTAGAATCAGGTAAATGGGCTCTGGTCAACATGAATGACAGGAAAAGCAAACACCATTACTACCATAAATATGCTTGTCTTCATCCTATTAAAGTACCCCTAATCCTTCAGAACTACCACAGAGTTTAGGAGCCATGCCAATACACCAAACTACCTCAGTCTGATTGTTTTCAAAATCTCATTATCTATCCTTTCCTTGTCTTTTTGAAGGCCAGGTTATAAACCCTGTATCTTTTTCTCATTGGACAATGCTTTCCAAACATTCATGATGCTGTCAGCATGACCTTAGCTGGTACAGGAAAACAAGAGAAGAACTAGAGGAACATGGAGTCAATAAGCAGTGGCAACCTCTGCTCCCTATTTCAACATCTGCTCTAGCCAACGATCAGGCTGGATACGGCTACCTCAACTGTGGGTTCCAGAAGAAAACCTACTTAAACATGGATAAAAACCTCAATTCTAAACAAAGTGATGATCATTCAGACGTGCTCTCTTTTATTTCCAGAATTTTAATGTGTACTTGCTGATTTTGAAGCAAAGTCTGAAATTTCATTTGGACAGAATCGCCTTATAATATAAGGCAGTCCCAAAAAATCTGTAGCTTTAAAATGTGTTCTAATTGGGGCTGACGCCATGGCTCACTAGGTTAATCCTCGGCCTGTGGTGCCGGCATCCCATAAGGGCACCAGTTCTAGTCCTGGTTGCTCCTCTTTCAGTGCAGCTCTCTGCTGTGGCCCAGGAGTGCAGTGGAGGATGGCCCAAGTGCTTGGGCCCCTGCACCCGCATGGGAGACCAGGAGGAAGCACCTGGCTCCTGATCGGCACAGCGCGCCAACCAGCCGTAGCAGCCATTTGGGAAGTGAACCAACGGAAGGAAGACCTTTCTCTCTGTCTCTCTCACTGTCTAACTCTTCTATCAAATAAAAAAAATATTTTAAAAAATCCAATGAAAATCACATATCTGACTGTGGCAAAAAGTGTCCTACATGAAGGACCTCTGTTTGATGGACCCCAGTGAAAAGAAGTGGTCATCAAAGAAGGATGTACTTTTCTCTGAAGGGAGGAGAGAACTTCCACTTTGCTTATAGCCTTGTCTAAATACTCATGGAGTCTGTGAATTCAAAAGGCTTCCTCCATAGCCTAGGCAGCTCATATCAAGAGCCTCGGGTGATCACTGACATCATACATAAGAGTGTTAATTGTTAAATTTACAACAGGAGTCACTGTGCACTAACTTCCCATGCAGAGCCTCTGTCCTCAAGAGTTGGATTATGAGAGTTAATAGTAAAACTTATTCTCAAACTCTTTACTTAATATATACTAAGTTGATCTTCTGTATATAAAGATAATTAAAAATGAATCTTAATGACAATGGGATGGGAGAGGGAGTAGGAGATGGGATGGTTTGCAGGTGGGAGGGTGGTTATGGGGGGGAAAACCACTATAATACAAAAGTTGTGCTTTTGAAATTTATATATATTAAATAAGTTTTCTTAAAAAAAAATGTGAAGTGGTGGAGACAGTGGTGGGGAGTGGGGATCACGATTTTGCAATCATTATGTAGGCAATTCCAATTCAAGGAAGAATCAGTGGAGGCTAAATCCTGCAGGCTGGGATCTGAGGAGTGGCAGGCTATCTGTATAGACTCAAAGGGTCTCCTCAGAGGGTGAAAGAACTACAGAGCAAAGAAATTATAGTATCTTGACCACATGATGAAAAAGGATAAGCAGTCTGATTACCGTCACCCGTGGCTCTGATACTCAGGTAAATATTCCTGCCAAGCACGGATGCTCTGCATTTAATCTTAGGTGTCCAAGCCATCAGACAAACTCAAAATGAGAACAGCCTACAAAGTAACTAGCTCATATGCTGCAAAACTACCAATGTCAAGTAAGACAAAGAGGCTGGACAAATTTTAGATTAGAAATGAAACAGACATGAAAACTAAATGCAATGCCTGATTCTAGACTGGAGAAACAGAATATCATTGGGATAAGTGATAAGAATGGTATATAGACTGTAGACTTCAATATTAATCAATGTTAAGTGCCTTGAAGTAGATACATGATAATATCCTTATTTTTAGGAAATATACACTGAGATCAAAGATAATTCTTTAAGCACTTCAGAAAATGTTTACATATATGAACATGTATGTGTGTATGTATCTGTACAATTCTTGCAATCTTCCTGTTAAATTTGAAATTAATCCTAAATAAAGTTGTTAAAAGTCAAAGATTGGAAATATTAATTAGTTTTTGCACAGATTGTGTCTTAAGAGGAAGGGACGCCAATTGTTGTGATTTATAAGACTAAAATACAGGAATGCAAATCAAGACTGGAAATGGTTTGCAAAGTCATCCAACTACTTCAGACTTAAAGGAACAGTAACTGTTAGGGTATGTTAGGTTATGTGTACACCACCAAGAACTTTGAGGAAATTGTGGCTTTTTTTTACTAGACAGTGGCAAAGGCTAATAAACTTACCGCCAGTGCTTCTCAACTCTTCGGCTAAGGGCAATTTTCTCTCCTACTTCTGTGCATACAGGATTAGTCAAAACAATTTTGCCCAAATCAGCCTTGACAGCGCTGACTCTCCCCCCTGTGGACAGGGATCCAATATTCACCATGAGCACTTCATTCTTAGACAGCTTTTGTACCTAGGGAAATAAATTGTGAAAAAATAAATTTCAAAAATCAAAGAAGTATTTTCCACAAATAAGTGGCAATTTATCAATTACTTTTGCAATTGTGTATTGTTTAAAAACTATGTATGGGGGCAGGCGCTGTGGTGTAGTGGGCTAAGCCTTCGCCTGTTGTGCCAGAATCCCATATGGGCACTGGTTCGGTTCGTGTCCCGGCTGCTCCTCTTCCAATCCTGCTCTTGCTGTGGCCTGGGAAAGCAGTGGAAGATGGCCCAAGAGTTTGGGCCCCTGCACCAACGTGGGAAAAACCAGCAGAAGCTCCTGGCTCCTGGCTTCAGATTGGCCCGATTCCAGCCATTGAAGCCATTTGGGGAGTGAACTCGCAGATGGAAGATCTGTCTCTTCCTCTCTCTGTCTGTAATTCTCTCTCTTAAATAAATAAAATAAAAATCTGAAAAACAAAACTACATATGGATTTCATCTGCATCAAGGTAAGCTTTTTTTTTTTTTTTTTTTTTTTTTGACAGGCAGAGTGGACAGTGAGAGAGATGGCAGGAGCCAGGTACTTCTCCTGGTCTCCCATGGGGTGCAGGGCCCAAGCACTTGGGCCATCCTCCACTGCACTCCCTAGCCACAGCAGAGAGCTGGCCTGGAAGAGGGGCAACCAGGACAGAATCCGGTGCCCCGACCAGGACTAGAACCTGGTGTGCCGGCGCCGCAAGGTGGAGGATTAGCCTACTGAGCCGCGGCGCCAGCATAAGCTTATCTTTTGATTCCATTTTCCATGAACTTTCTGAAGTACCCTCATATACTCTAAAGGTGACAAACGGGTTTATCTGGCATTCATTGAATGTATATAAGATCCACCTTTAAAAATTAAGTCAGAAGCCACAGCATAGAACCTCTTAAAATTCTGAAGAACTTGTATACAGGTTGAATATCCTTCATCTGAAATGCTCACCTCCAGAAGTATTGTAGATTTCAGAATATCTGCAGATACATAAGGAGGTACCTAGGGGACATGACTTGAGTTCAAATGCACATGTGTTCTGAATGCGACCCCTCACAGGTCAGGCGTGGAATGTTCCACTTGTGACATCCTGTCAGCATTCAAACAATTTTGGCCTTTAGAGCATTTTGGATTTTTTTGATTAGGGATGCTCAACCTGTACAGGCTCACAGCATAAAACTTCCAAAATGGAAAGGGGAGCAGGAGATGCTGTCAAACTGTTTTTACTGAGACATCGAAATAAATAAATAAATTCATGTCAGGGCTGGCATCGTGGCTCAACGTGTTAAGCTGCTGCCTGCAATGTTAGCATCTCACATCGGAGCACCATGGTTCAAGTCCTTGATGTTCCGCATCTGATTCAGCTCCCTGCTAATGCTCTTGGGAAGGCAGCCTAAGATGGCCCCGATACTTGAGCCCTGCGACCCACATGGGAGACTAGGATGCAGTCTCTGGCTCCTGGCTTCTGTCTGCAATAGCCCTGGCAGGTGCAGCCATTTCGGGGGTAAACCAGCAGATGGAAGATCTCTCTCTGTAAATGCCTTCCAAATAAATAAATCTTAAAAAAAATATGGATGCTAGCAATAGTATGTCATGTTATATATGATACAAATACTGTTTTTTGCTTTGTTTTTACCTTAAACTGATTGCCATATAGAAGTTTTCAATTTTTGCAAAGCCAAGTTTATTTACCTTTTTAAAATTTTCATGTTAACTGTAAAAGAATAAAACTCAAAATAGATTTTAACAACACAGTCACCTTTTTTGAAACAGTAATTATAAAAAGCACTTACTTTCGCTGCTTTCTTGTCTCCTTCAGTGCGTACACCTAGAAGGCGTCTAAGCAAGAAATATGAAATTTCCAATTCTGTAAAGATTTCAGG